GAAGAGAGGGAAAGAGATTTAGCAAGGCATGCACCCTTTGCATTGGACCACCTAAACGCATCACTGTTTCTGCCTTTTTGTGAAGGCATTCAATGCTACTTGTCCACTTCTCCCTTATAAACGTTTTCTTTTCCATATAAGACATTATATCAATATGGTGGGGTATCCCTTTAAGGCGCCAAGAAGATTATTTTAGGCCTCCCTCCTACTAAGAGATTCTAAACTAGTAACCTCAAAGCCTTTCCTCAATTTATTGATCTTCTGGACTTGGTTATTCTAAGTAGGTAACGAAACCAAACACTCATAAAAGAGCTTGTGCTCAGTTCATTTAATGTTTGGGACTGAGTAAAGTCCCATATTTATTAGGGTATTCCAGCTCACCAATGTCATGTTTATCAATTCTAATTGCTAACCATGCAGGCCAGAACTTCCAGCTCACCATCTCATTATTGCTCAGACTTTTCCTGATTACAAAACTTAGAAGGTTGTAAAAATAATATCTCAAAAAAAAAAAAAAACACTTGGGAAGCTTGTAGCTTCCCATCCTAGCTCTAAACATTGTGGGGGATATTTCAATTTCATGTACTATAGAAGCTTAAATTAAAATGTTTGGACTTTGGACCACAATGTGGTGCAAGTTCTGAAATGGGGTTCAATTTAATATTTCCTCCGTTTTTTATTCATAATCGTTTTGTCATAATTTGTCTTTTTTTTTCATTGTTATTTTACTAAAATCAATGACTTAGTAATTTTTTTTTCTCATTTTTATTCTTGATAATTAACGTATGTTTGCTAAACAATGTGTGTATTTATTTCTAATGTCTACCTATTTTTTCTCCAACTACCTATGTAAAGTTAATGTTACATTTAAAAAGACAATATGTTTCTAACGAAATACTATAAAAAAAATATAGGGTAGAATAGGAAAGTAAGTAATAAATATTTTTGAAAATTAAAATATCAAACATTTCTTTAAGTCTCGTGCAAAACCTTAAACGACTATGAATAAAAAATGGAGGGAGTATAACAAATGGGGATGTGCATAGTGTTTGTACACATTTATATATGAGTGGCATAATGAATTCTACTCGTACAACTTCAGGATAACATGGCCAAATCTAATTATGTTTCTAGTGTTGGCATTTTTGTCTCTGCTTGGGGGTGATGGTGGCCAATTAGAATAGGATCGATTCCTAGCACATTGGATGCCGATTGCTGGTAGAAAACATTAACTGTAACAAATAAAAAAGGAACGTTGTGATAATAATTTGGTTCACGCATTAGGTATGGAAATGCTAGTTGACACAGGTTTTGGGGCCTCCATTTCTGATCCATTGGGGCCATTCAGAATAGTGATGCATCAACAGCTTGGAATCAATTGGTATTTGGGACCATATGAATCTTGGATAGTTCCTTGAGAGTTTGAGAAGCTAACATCAACACCTTGATTTAGAACGTAGTTGGTGTAAATTTGTCTGTGCTAGAAGCAGCTTTTCATCAAGTTGAAAAGATCATGGTGTCAAATTGAAAGAATCAGAATTCTTTTATGCTTTTCAGATGGAATAAAATGCCATATTGGACCTCCTCTCACTAATAACTAACCGTTGAAAACTTACCATAAGACCTTTACTTTTGTTCACATGTTTTTCCTTTCTTCCCCTTAACCCTGATGTTGAAACCTGGAAATTATCTAACCTCTGATGAATTGTTTATTATTTATAAAACAATTACAATGACTTTGAGAATTATGTACAGGAAATTATTACTGACAACAAGAAGTTTGGTAACGAATTTCAATTGTGATTTGTGAGGCAGGTAAAGACATGGATTTCAAAACTTGCAAATTCCAATCGTTCAAGAATTTACTTCTTTAAAATGTTGACTTCATTCTTTTGGTTGATTTAGCACATAATAGGCAAAATAATTGCAGAATGATGTGACATATTACCTTATGATACAATGGATTACTCTGCCAGTCCTAATTAATTATCTTTGTCGTGGAACAGTCAAATTCTTCCCTGTTTCATCTGCTTTGGGTGAAAAACACATTTTGACATCATATTTTTAGTGAAAAACATAAAATATAGTAATTCATGATGAAAATACGTTACACAGGAATTCATGATGAACTATAGTAACAACATTTTGTGGTATCGTGCATGTCATGTGTTGGAATTTAATCGATCAAACTGCAGATACTATACTAGCATTACAGTTTTGTGGGGTTGAAATCTCAACATTATATTTGTATTCCTAATTTTTGCCAAATAGAAATGATTATTTTTTTTGTTAGACATGGCGTGAAACAGTGAGATAAATTCTACTTCCATTCCATTATTATATCCTTTAAGAAGTAATGACTAGTAAATCACCATTAATTGATTTTATGATATTTTCACTTTTGCTTCTAACAAATAGCAGTGTCATTATTAATCGCAGTAGGGAAATTATTGATGGTTATTAGAGTTGGATGATTTGTAGCATTTTGGGATGGTTTACAATAAGAATGGTCTCACCAGCTTCACCTTTCCACAAGTAGATACGGCTATAGCTATGAAGCGGCTAATGCTATCTTATCAAAGATTGGAGACTATTTTATTGTGCAGCCTAAGCAGTGTGTTTCCATGCACTCTAGAAAAACCTTTGTGGGGTCCACAAGCATATATGGTCCTCTTTTGTTGTTCTTTTAGACTTTACAGCTGTAAGCAAGAAAAGAGCAGAAGAAAATTACATGGAGGGTTTTTTAGCCCAATTTTGTTTTCATTTGAATTTATTAAATAAAATGGGAAACACCGGATGCATGAGACTAGGTCAAAAGAGAAAGTTCAAAATCACCAATCTAAGCCCCAAGGCATCATATTATTCTACAATTATTAGTGTGGGGGCATATATTACTGATCTCATAACCCCAAGGCTGTTTCCTTTTGGAAAAACATTTTCCCCTCTTCAAGTTTTTCTCCCTCTTGACTCATGAAGTCATGATCGCTAGCATCCATCTGGTACTATCTTTAATCTACCAAACTTAAAGTAGAGAAAAATATTAATAGAACCAAAGACAATCTTCCTACAAAATCAGATTTTGTCCCCTCATAATAAAATCCCCTGCCTTTATGCATCGTATCATAATTTACGATTAGTGGGTGTTTTGTCAAAGCCACCAATAAAACCAAAACCATTATAATTCTACTTCTTTTCTTGTTTACTACTCACTCCATTTCAGGGAGAAACAAATCTGTCATTTTTAATTATTTATGCCTTTAAACTCCTCCAAGAAAAACTAATAAAATACTAACCCATTGGGTCATTCTTATTTCATCATGCTCACATACCAAGCGTTTCTACACACTCTTTATAGAAATTATTTGTGTTATACACGTGAAAAAAGTAGAATAAACTTTATTTTTGTTTTCACACGAGAAGAAAGACAAAAAAAAAATTAAAAATAAAAATAAAAGCAAAGAGAACAACCAAAAGGTGAAGCATGCACTATAGTGAATCCACTAGAATGATCATCATGAATCTTTGCATTCATAAAAGAAAAAGGGGTAGGAAGAAACACAAAAAAGAGAAAAAATCTCCACGCAACTTAGAGAAAGGGGAGGTCTACGGAATGTTATCCACATGGGGTATGCCACCTTTCTTGTTTCTTTAAAAAGAGTGTGCACTTAATCATAGTTAGTCTAATCCAACTAACGACTAACAAAGCAAAGGTTGCATAAGTATTGAAAAGTTAATGCTGTGTATCCCACTACTTTGAATTAGATGCAAAAGTGTTTCCCCATGTTCTTCGCTATGTTCTCGGCTTGTCACTAGTGCTATAATAGACACGATTAATCAATTGTCTCCTACTATTGACTGCAAATGCATAAGTTGTTGTGCAATTAGACTTGATAATTCAACAGATAAAGTGTGACAACTAATAACAGCTAGGAACCACCAAAAGTAATTCGAAGAGTTTTATTTTTGTAACTATACATACATGCACACTTTGTTTTCTAATGCATCACAGAAATTAGTTATCAAGTAATGCAATCCACTTACACCGATCAAATCAGATAGAAAAAATAACATGAGTATTCTGACAACTTATAGATAAGGACTACTAGATTGGTTATTCAATTGAAAATAGAAAGTAAATGTTTTAATTATTTAGTGCTAATTCATAAACACATTACGAGTATAAAATTCGCAGCTAGACATGAAGAAAGAGAAAGCGAGCTTGAATACCACTACTAATATTTTGTGAAGTGATAATCACGTTTGATAGTTTAATTTAATTTATTGAACCAAAATAACGTTATCATCTAAACTATAGCAGAGATGTGCAGGATCTGAGCAGAGAGTAAGTTATGTAAACCAAAATTTCGTCCTTGCATGCCTCTAAGATTGTGCGTAGGAAGGGTAGCAATTAATGTTGCACAGTGACAACTCTTTTGAAGTTTCCAACTAAAAGGTTGTAATGTACGACATGTTTAATTAATGCCATCTTACTCTAATAATCTACCGAATAATGACATGCAAAGTATATATGTATAATTATGTAGGGACATATGATATCAGACTTAGGGTCCTACACTACAGACCAAGCTATTTTTCACGCCCTTCTCGAAGTGCTTGTAGGTATAGCTAGGGCTAATGAATAATAAATAGTTGGGTGAGGGTTAGGTTAGGTTATAGAGAGTATTAGGTTAGGGCGAGTTCAATATTACTATAAGACCAAAGTGTTTGGCCCATGTTACGAGGTCAAGAGAGTGAATCCCCCCAATGAGCCATCCCCTATGACCAAAAACCCCACTGGTCACTGCCCACTGGCCGACAAACTACTTCTCCCTTCACATGCAAACAAATCCCTCTTCTTAGTGTGTCCAAAAACCCTTCTTATTTTGTTCGGTCTCACTGGTTTTTCCTTATAAAAACTACATAATAAGAAAATACATGTTAAAAAGCATGGGGTGGACCATTTGGGATCGGGACTCTCATCTCTATGTCCCAAGCATTCAAGCACACAAGGAAGTGAATAAGAGCATATACAAATGAACAAAATTGTTCTCAATTTATTATAGAAAATATGATATAAAATATGTCCAAATTTGGTATGGTCTATATGAGACCCATTGAACAAAGAACAAAAAAAAAGGGAAAAGTGCCTGAAACATATTATAGAGTGCTGATAGTCTTTCGATTCCTCATTGCCAACTTTGTCCTCCTCTTCCTGAATCCTGAACCACCTTGGCTCTTGTAAATGATGTGGGACATTGTTGGAAATGGAGATACAGAGGGGAAGGCACTATAGTTGAGCAACATGCATGGAAAGATTAATTACCACATTAAATAAATATAAGACTTTTTTTTGGTTCTTTGTTTTGTGAAGAGAGAGAGAGAGAGATGGATGTTATTGATTAAGGAGAGGTGCCAACAATTCCGACAATAACCCGGTTAAGTGGTGACAATTTCATTTGTTGTCCTTGGGTTCTGGTCTTCTTGAACAGAGGCTCTGGTGGTGAATATAATGATGACCCCACTGCCCACGAATCGTTGGAACCATCAGAGCTAAATGCAGCATCAATTACGCCACTTGGGCTGCCTGGGAATTCCTCATACTTGCGCTTACTAGTGTTGTTATCACCATAATTATTGGCGTTTGAGACTTGTAGAATCGTATTATAGCACTCATCTACTTTCTCCTGTTCAAATGCACACCAATAACTAAGATCAAATTATGTACTTATCATGTGCTGTGCATTAATGACTTTGTCAGCATTTGTTTAATCTTAATTTAACATGCTCATCCACATGGAATAATGTTAAATAATCAAGTACTAAACAAATACTAATTGGACATCTGATCCAGGCACTAACCTTGCTAATTTTGAGAACACTCAGAAGTTGATTTTTGTATTCCATCCCACCACCGTGCTCAATTTGGTCTATAACATGCAGCATTGTGGCAGTGGCCAAAACAGAAGGGAGACACCCAACAAATCTTGAATCTAGATTCAACAAAACACACATACCAAATGATAAGAAAATCAACACAACATCCTCGTCCGTTCATTTATTCTTTGTACTAATGGAAGAAAAGTTAAAAACCCTTTGGTCAACTCAATAATGGTATGTGAAAGAGTGATAGGACACTAATCATTGTTATTCTCAATGCTCACCTAAAAGCACAGCCAGAAGAAGATGCTCACAGCGCCTGAGAAACTCCCAGTGGAGATGAGTTTTCAATCCAAGCCTTCTTATAATGTGATCTAGAAATGAGAGAGGGGTGACAGGGTGCATCTTCCATTTGAGTGTGGACAGCACCAGCAGCTCCATTCTCTGAATAGTCTTTGCCTCAAACACGCACTTTGTGTCTTGCAGCTGAAAATAGAGCATCGTATCATAATGAGATATATATCTACCTAAGATGGATAACAAAAACACACTTAAGAAAGAAAAGAAACATACTTGAAGGTCCAAGAGAAGAGGCACTTGAGTTTCTTCAACTTTTGCAGCCAAAGAGATGCAAGTGACAGCCACAAGCTGGATCATCCAAGGCTTCTCCCTTTGAAAATGGAAGCTTAGAAGGAACCTATCCAGATAAGTAACGGCCAGTGTTGCAGTGAGAGCAGAGAATCCATGGTGAGCATTGACTTTAAGCATCCATTCCACTGCCTCACCACGAGGCTGAGAGAGACAAGAGTCCAAATGCACATTATTAGTGTTATTATTATTGTTGTTGTTCACGTTGTTATAGGCATAGGCTACTTCTTCTAGTTGAACCTTCTCTTTGGAAAAAAGAGAGTTAAGTTCTTCATCCTCCCAGAACAAGTCTTGCTCCAACAAGAGAAGAGGGAGAAGGGAAGTGGCAGTGTCATCATTGTGAGTTGTGACATCACTTTCTTCCTGTTCTTCTTCTTCTTCTTCTTCCCACTTCACTTCATCACAGTAAAGGGCATCAAGGACAGATGAGACATTTTCATTGTGTTGTAGTTGGTCATTGTGATGATGCTGGATTGCCATCTTCTTCAGTGAAGAAGAGGGTGTGTAGTCCTTTGTTCATTATAAAAAGAAAACACAGAGTCTCACACCCATGAGTCCCTTTTTTTGGTTTCTCACACTCTCTTTTGTTGAGTGAGTGAAGAAGTGAGAAGCTGAAAGCAGGGAAAGAAGAAAAGTGGTAAGCAATGGAGAAAGGTGATAGGGAGAGATTGATTCTTGAGGTGAGTGGGTTTCACGCTTGTCTTTTATATATTTATTTAGAAAAATAAAAAATATATATATATTTATTTGGAATTCTTGCGCTTTCGGTGTTGGCGGGCAGAAGTGCATAAATCTAACGGCACACACACCAAGCTGGACCCATGACAACAACCTCTTATGCTCAATTTAATTTTCCCACATTGTGCACCAAAAACTTTCCCCCTCTTATTCAATTTACTCATGCAACACTATCAAGTACCAGATTCATTGTTTATGTGCATCAAATTACATTTTCAAAACAACCAGGGAATTTCGTACAGGCTTTAATTCTCCTTTTACTCTCTAAACCTAATTTTCATCTTTACTTTAATGTTTTTTTTTAGTTTTTATAATTTAAAATTAATTTTTTAATATTTTTTATTTCTATAGTTTAAGACATGTTATTTTAATCCTTATGTTTGAAATTTTTTAATCTTTTTAGTTTTCTTTTAATATATGATGTGACATATGTCTGAAGATAAAAAGTTTTTTAATAATAAATATTATAAGTAAAAAATCTAATTTAAAGTAATTTTAACAAAATAAATTTGACATAAAATAGATAAATTTGAATTAGTAATTCTATCACATCACCACAAAACAAACATTGTTAAGAAAATTATCAAAAATGAATGGATTATATAATTTAAAGTATAAAGACTAAAAAGATATGTATTAAATTATAGAGACTGAAAAAAATTAAAAAAATATAAGTATAAATTTTATGATATTTGTCTAAGGGATATTTTATAAGAATTATTTTTATAAAGTTATTTCATATTATCCACTTTGGACCTTGTTTTTTTTAGTTATCACCCAAAAGGTCTCTTAACCATTACAGTATATTTGTGTTTTATAAATTGTTATTTCTTCTCTTATTTTATTGATATGAGACTTGTTTATATTCTAACAAGATTAGAAACATATATTTTAAATTATAGAAATTTAAAGAAAAACTAAATGAAACCATAGACACTACAAAATATTTTAATTATAACTTAATCGCTATGTAGCAAATATTTATCTTTTATAAAATTGTGTTGTTTAAATTTTTATTTACTTTTTCTTTGAATATTTTACTGAAGGAAATACTATAATATTTTTTATTTTACTAGAAATATTGATAAGTATTATTATATTTCTATAGCCAAATTTCTGCAATGACATTTTAGCTTTAGTATTATATCATTTTCAATATTTTCACCCCCAAAAAGAATATCATTTTACCACATTCAGGTTTTAATATAGGAAAACTTAATAAGATTGATATTCATAAAATAAATATTTAAAATATTTATTATATATATATATATATATATATATATATATATATATATATATCTAATTTTGGTCCTTTGCACATTTAAGTTAAATATAATGTATTTTTCATATATGTTTTAAACAAGTTAATTAATTTAGTGGTTCTCATGGTTTTGGGTTTCAACATGTCTTAAACACCTTCTTGGTCAATTTTTAAAATACATATGCCGATAGAAGAACTTAATCGATACTCAAAGAAAAACTATGAATCCCATTTTACTTTTTTTTTAGTATAATATTTACAGAAATATTTATTGGTTTCGTTAAAAAAATTTAAAATTTTTTTACTACATAAAAATCATCTCTTCCAACATTATTTTTTATCAAATAAAAAATTTAAATTTAAATATACTTAAGTTTAAATATATGAAGCTACGCTATACCCATTTTACCTATTTGAAAATAGTAAGAACATTATACAATGATAAGAGATTGAGAATGACATTAATTAAGCTTCATTAAAAAGTTTTAAAGAAAAATAAAAGATAAAAATTTTGAGCTCGGAAAATATATCACTCACAAAAAAAAAAATCATGAAGAAATTAGTCTTGCCCCCGTTTAAAAAGTTAAAAACCAAACCATTGACCTACGTAAAATCCATGGATAACATGATTAAACTTCAGTTAACTGAATAACAGAGAATAAATTGTTGGCTTTTTCATAAGAGACAACATTTAGCAGCACACTCGTTATTATTGTTTGGATTTTACTTACTCTTACCAAATAATTTGGATATATCAACTATTTAGGGTTAGTCTAATGGTGAACATTTTGAGATAATAAAGACAAAGTTTTAAGTTTGAATTTGTTACATTTTTACAAATTGTTTTTTAGTGTATAATTATATAATAAAACACAGGTACAAACTATTCACGGATAATAATTAGTATAAGTGGGTTAGAGTATTTTTAACAGTTACATCATAGTCTCCATGGTGCAGTGAAATATCTACAAATCCTCTGTCATCTGCAGTGGCAACAAGAGACCCAGTTCTCCACTCCTGAATCAGCTTGTCCACAACGTCTCCAGCAGGAGTATTTTTGAAATTCTCATCTGCCAAAGTAGTATCGTTGAAACCAGCTTGTGCTGGACCAGAAAACATTATAATCCCTTCAACACCAGGATGAGAGTATCCCTCTCTTAGTATCTCTTCCAAGTATTCTGCCTACTCAAGAAACAACAGTGAGAAAAGTAAGGTAATGCGGAGTCACCTGGTATATTAATATTTCTTTCTTTTTCTTTTCTCTGACAGATAAAATATAAAATTGGCGGATTTTCCATGAAGGGGTCTTTTACAAGAACTTGTGAAAATAATTTGATTAGTTTACAGACTACAGTGAAAATATTTTTATGTTGTGAAGTAATTAGAAATCATCCCAAGTATGACATTTTAAGGTAATCATTACAAAATCAGCAAACTTGTCATACTTGACAATTTGTGATTCAAAGATAATATTAAAAATGCTTACACTGCTAGTAATTTATAATTTGACACGTATAAGGCGATTGCTGACTTATTAAATCATTTGTTGCTTATCTCTTTAGCATGTAGTTATTTAGCATTTTTTAGATAATTCCATGCCTATTTCTTTTTCAGGAAAACATCAAGAGGCAGACAATATTGTTCGCAGGAGTCTTGAAGAAAATTTGGAGCTTGACACTGTGGGCCCAACTATTAGGGCTATGGCAAAGAGGATTCAAGAAGAGTGGGTCCATGCTCAAGAAAAGCCCATCACACTTTTCAGTTGGGCTTTGGCTCAAGCCCAAGTAGAGTAGGAGTAGTGTAGGTTTGGGCCTTAGGGCTTGTATTTCATTTTGGGCCTTGTATTTCGGCCACTTAGACTAGGAATTTCATTTCATGGTCATTTGAATTTAGGGTTAATTTAGGGTTACATGTGCTTAGTCATTTGCATGTAATTAGCATAGCATTTGGTATGCATTTCGGCCATGTGCACACATGCACATGGTGTGACCGAAATGCAACTCAAATGGATGCCAAATTACATCACAAATGAGTGCACATGGGATGGTGACCGGTTGGCACCAAAATTTGAATTTTTGAATTCAAATTTTGGCGCCTAAGGTTAAGTAAACCATACCACGGTTTCACTTAACCTTAGGCTAACCATGGTACACCTTTAACCTAATTTTTCCCTATAAATTCTCTTTGGCCGAGTTTGTAATCACTTTTGGAAATTAATTGAATGAGAATTCTTCACTTTGAACTCTCTCCTCCGAAAGTCTCCTTAGCCTAAACTCTACCCTACTTGAGATCCTCTCCTTGTAGAGTTAGGCTCCATTTCTTCTATCCGGACTTAGCTAGGATAAAGCTTGGCTACATTTGTTCTTCTTGGAGATTCTAGTCCTTGCATCTCTTCCAAGGATCCGAGAAGAATTTGAAGGCATTCCTTGAGGTTTCTTCAAGTAGAACCTCATCACAATGTCAATTGCTTCATTGAAAATTCTCATTCTAATTTTCCAATAGACATAATTCTCTCCATTGAAAATAAGAGGTCTATGAATGGAAAAACCCTAACCATAAGGTAGGTTGTTATTAGCCATTTTTGAAATCTTGATTAACATTCAAGAACCTTGCTCTGATACCAATTGATAGAAAATAATGGCTTAATCCAAGAGGGGGTGAATTGGATTCAATGACACTTAAAAATTTTCAGAGTTTAAGGATCTTGATTTCTTTAAAAACTTTTCTAAAATTAATTTCCAATAAAGTATATATATTGAACGTCTTAGTATATGAGAATGACTCCTATATGATTTCTTGATTAATCTTTATTGAATCAACTTAAAGAACAATTAATATGTAGTGCTTATGTTCTAGTTTAAACCATTTAATCATACAAGCATATTAATCAAGACCAGCCATCTAAACATTCAATTAAAGATTGTTCAATGTAAAAGATAAGGATGAGAGAAGAGTACAAAGTGTTTTATCCTGGTTCAACCACTCCACATGTGACCTACATCCAGTCTTCAATCATAACCTGATCAAGATTTGTTCCATTATCTCAATGAAGAAGTTTTACAAGCATACCACACATGCACACACTTCAACACACAAGATAGACCCTTTCTTTCACCCAAGAAAGCACTTATTGTAGAAACCCCCTACAAGAATTTCTTACCACTTGAGAAACCTACTCAAGACTTTTAATGCAATATACAAAAAGATTAAAGGAACGAATTCACCTGGAAGCTGAACAAATCAAACTGTGAATTCTTGACCAATCTTAATTCCTCTTTTCCAAGAATGTAGTGATGATGATAATTCTTCTCAAAGCATTTCACAAAATGTTTTTACTTCTTGGTTTCACAAAGAAAACTCTCCAAGAAGATCACAAAGATCAAAAGTTTATCACAAAATTCTCACATATCACTTGGCTAAGTTACTGAATGATAGAACCACTTTTATAAGGTTTTCACACCTAGATAATCGATTGTTTTTAAGGATAATCGATTATTTTGTTCTTCATGAGTTTTGAAAATCACTCAAGAACAAAATAATCGATTATTTTTCAGGATAATCGATTATTCTAGAGAGCACTTTCTAGAATAATCGATAATTTCATAGGTAATCGATTATTACAGCAAGGTTTCTCAACCTCTTGAAAAAAAAAGCTGAGATAATCGATTATAGTTAGTAATAATTGACTATTTTGAGTTAGTTTTTCAAAATTCGATTTCACACATTCAAAACCTTTCCAAGTTACTTATCATCATCATACTCACTCTTAGACAATTTGGAATTAAAATTTAACTCATGCACAAAGCACAAACATGCATAGAACATAAAATTGACCAACAAAGCAACTCAACACATAAGAACACAAAAACCACTCCTATTACATTTGGTATTCATTCATGGTCTTCATGTCTTAAAATTCTTAATAAATAAATATTTTAAATATTTATATTAAATTTTATATTTAAATTTTTTTATTGTGAAAAAATAATTTTAATCATTTATATTTTCTTTTTAAAATATTAAAATATAATTTTAAAATAAAAATGAAAGTTATATATTGAAAGAGACAAAATATTAAGAAAATTTTATAAAAATATTCCTATAGAAGAAAATTTTTACAAAATTTAAAAGCTGTTTTTATATTGGTTTTAATCGGGAGAAAACATGGATAGCAGTATTTTTTGTGTGTTTGTTTTGAGATGAGGTTTGAGTTTATAATTCACATTCACATATTCCGCTGTTTAATTGGATGGGCCTGGGCTCATAGTCATTCATAGGCATAGCAGCTTCTGTTCCTCGGGAAAAAGAGAGTATATTTTTATATTTTCCTAAAAATGACCATAAATTTAAGAGAATGTGATAGATCACATGACGTCTAAAACCTGAATATTGCCAATTTTAAAATACTAAATACACACTAAAAGCAAACAGAGAATACAAAAAATGAGCTTTTATATATACAAAAAAAAAAAAAAATCCAAAATTGCATTAGTATATGCCAGAATTGCAAAAATAGTAATTGCGTGTTCTAACCTGTTTCCATTTCTTTCACAATTGCGTTTAACTTAATTTTGATGAAGAAAGGTTGTAGATATTCACGTCTCAACCAGTAATGCTACAAGTCAGTAGTCCATACACTTGTTTACGTTCCTTTCACCCAGATACATATAAAAAATAAAAGAAGAGGTTAATTTATTGAGGTTAAAATTCTTTTTTAATTTCTATAATTTTACTTATTTACTTTTGAATTTTTTTAATTTGTCTATGTACCATTTTTTTTAATCTTTTTTAATTATTATAATTTAAGATATGTATTTTTAATCCTTATACTTACAGTTTTTAATATTGTTTATTTTGTTTTTGGTATCACAAAGATTTTCAATTATGTATGAATAAACAAATGTCTCAACAATAAGTGTCATAAGTGATGGTGCAAAAGAGACAACTTCAAGAGACCCTATTTAGAATAACTTCAACAAAAATAAATTTGACATCAGATCAATATTTAAAAATTGAATCAGTCATTAAACTAGTTTAAGCATTATTCAAATTCAATAATTCAATCATAATCAAGTCGATATTAATAAAATTATTATTATTAATACAAAATTAATATTAAATAAATACAATTTTATAATACTAAAAATTAAAATAAAATATTATTTATAGATTCTTAAAATTTAGTTTATACGTAAAATTTTAAACTATATATAATATAATATAAAAATGTCTATTAATAATAATAATAATAAAGTAAAATAAGTAAAATTATAAAGACTAAAAATATATTTTAATCATTTAATTAACAGTCAAAATGATAAATAATTTATATTAGATTATTTTTATTTATTGATAATTTATTTAAAAATATTAAAATTTAATTCATACATAATTATGATTAATAAATATCGAATTAGATAAGAAGTTATAGATTCCTAAAAACTTTCTCGTCAAAAGAAAAGTTTCTAAAAATACTATCGTATAAGGTAGTCATTCATATTTTATATATAAGAGTTTATTTTAATATTTTTAAAAAAAAATTACATAAAAGTATCATATTATAGTTGGTAATATTTAAACTTATTAGTTTGGATTTGTTTTTTTAATATATCATTTTAAATTAATTTATTTACTTATAATTTTATCTTTTGGATATCTTTAATTTATGTTTTTGATTTTTTTGTTATCTTTAAGATTGGATAAAGTCATTTTATGGATAAATTTGTGAAAAAGAATTGTTTTATGTGATTATAATTCTAAGTTGATTACTAATAACTAATAAGTACTTAGTGTATTGTGAAAATATTTTTAATTTAAGAAATTAAAAATAAAAATAATATAAGAGACAAAAAAAATATTATCATTGTTCTTGTGTCTTAAGAAAGAAAGAAAAAATGTTGTGTCAAATAAAGAAAGAAAAATCGTTTAAATTGTTTTTGTTATCAATAATAATTATTTTATTTTATTACATAGAAATAATAATAAGAAGTAAATAAATACATAGATAACATATGATAAAAACTCAGCAATCATTGTTGGTATCTGAGTTTGAATCTAGTGTGATAAAAATTTGTTAAGAGAGCAACCCCACCAAACCCATGTGATGAATGTTCCAAACTTGAAAAATATCATTTCCCATGAACGATACTCGGGTTTTAGATGGCTAACAATACTCTCCCTCAAGTGCGTATTTTAAGATAGCTCAAAAGATTTCAGTACAATGTCTACCTACCTAGGAATTTTATTCACGTTGATCCAGTTTATTAAATTCTTTATTTTTCGGCTATACATTGATAAATCATCGAAAAAGGTTTAATTATCAAAAGTACATTTTAAATTCCCTTTCAATACGAACGCATAACATTGGTAGAGTCAAAATCAACCGTTTACATAAATTTTATTATTCCGTAGTAAATAAAATTGGACTGTGAGGCACTTGGGGGAAGGGGGAGCAATACAGATAACTGAGCATGTTCTTATTTTTAACTTGTGCATTAAGCCAGTGTGCAGTATCCAGATTTATCATTACAACAAACAAACAAATGGATGACCAAAATATTTGTGTGGAAAGTTGCAAGCAATTTTATGTACAAATATCGAAGTATAAAATAACAAAGTAACCCCTATTGTTATACTTCTTCAATCACTTTCGTAGTCTTCATCATCTCCGAAGGTAAAAACAGAAGCATCTGCAGCCATGGCCTTAAACTCACTTTCTGCGCTGGGCACCCCGAGACTGGACACTGATCTTCCGTCAACATTACTTCTTGGCTCACTAGCGCTATGAGTAGGAGGAGTAGAGCTCTTGTTTCCCAAGGAAACTTGTTCTGTTGCATGTGATAAATTTGCAACTTGATTCGAAGTTCTGTTGGATTCGGACACTCTACTGTCATTTTTAACTGTTTCAACTGCTTCAGAAGGTGCTTTTGTTTGCTTGCTTCTTGAAGAACCAGATTGCTCTGCCTCGCCATCTGAAAACACATCATCTTTATCATTACTCTCTGATTCTTTGTCTGCATTCTGTGCAGGGCTGCTACTTTCTTCTGGGGCGGGACTGGCAGAACTGTTACTTGAACTCTCATCTGATTTCTTTGTTGTAGTTTCTGGTTTGGAAGTTACAACATTGCCATCATAATCCGCCAGCACAACCTCAACCATAAATCCTGGAGAAGGCAATTTTCTCTGCCAGAAGTCCATATCAATAAAAATATAAGGTTGATTACAAGATACAATTGAAAATGACAAACATGGAAACACTGCACTCAACAGAAGCCAAACCATTTTCTACTATTACCAATAACCACAAAAACTTACCTTGTCAAAGCCATCGAGATCACTGGTGTTCAATACTTTCCTATTTTCTGTCATAGTTGTGTTCAACCAACTAAAGAGAGAAAAAAGCAAGATATTTCAGTTCAATATAAGACTAGCAGCAAAGGGAATTGATCAGTGATGAAGAAAATTAATTAATACCAGTAAAAATCTCCTTGGCGATCATGAAAATGGATTTTGAAGTCCCCGGCCAACTGTGTAAGACCAGGCTCTCCTGGCAAAGCAAAGACCATCACTCCCTTCTTTGGCGCACTAAACCAAAAATCTTCTGGCTGCAAATTGTGAAAGCTCAAGTCACAAAAATCCTCCATGCTTGAAACAAAATGGCAACAGACAGACATAACTATGGAACAATTCAATCAAATATTCGATACAATGACACCATATTATTAATGAGACGCACCAGAAGATCCTTGGTTCTTGGATGCTTTTTGGTTGAGAACAACACACCTACACATTAGAAATGGGTTAGAATCCACAGCAAATATGTCAGTCTGTCAGAGACTAAGATCTTACATTCTACTTTTCAAAGGGGTCAGCTATCAGTCAATTCACGGCACAAACAAAGCAGGTCATGTATAAAATATATATCCAGTTATCACTACTAATAACTAGTAAAGTACACATTACAACTCATTCATATTGTAGCATGAAAAAACATGCACAAAAGAGGTAGACGTTCTCCCTGTTTTCCTCTCACTCTCAACTCTCCCCTAGAAACACTTGAATTAAAGCATAGCTAATAGCTTTCGAAGAAAATCCTGCCAAGGATATGCCTTTTCAGTTCATACCAAAAGATACGAGTGCATACCATGAAGCTAAATAATATATAAAACACACCACAATAGAAACAAGGTCAAACTTAATTGACTAGTAAAAAAGAGAATACAATAAACAACGTAAATATCAGCAACCTAATCAAGAAAAGGAATAATAATATGATATTATAAATCTATTAACAGAATGGTCATGGACTATAAACAGTAAGGAAAATTTCAGTACAAGAATGTGAAGCATACCACTATGATCTGAGACAGTTATAGAGGGCCTAATCCAGTAAGGGCATCTGTGAAGCCGGAATCCCCGAAGCATGCACCTGCATAAATTATGATGTCACTTGTCAGCATGCACATTGAGACAGGTAAATACTAAAGTCACGTCCTGGCCAGTAAATACCTGCGGGCAGGTGGGTTTTCACCATTAAAGTAAGTCAAGACTCGTTCAAAATATTTGACATACCTCTACAGATAACAGTAAAACATAAGAATAGTAACTACAGTAATAACTCCAGAATCTCCAATTTTCCACCTAATTAACAGATTGCAAAACAGAACTTACAATCTGACTAGGCAGAACAAGTCCTTTTCCATCAATACATCTTTTCTGATTATAGTAATCCATTGATTCCTCAGCAGTTGGGAAGAACTGCAGTAATTTTTAGTTATAAATCTTAAAAAAAACAGAGCACAAGAAGACATAAAGTGCAAATATCAAGCAAATTCCTTATATTTTCAAGAAAATGCTTAGAAATTCTTCACCTTTAAGAATAATAGAAGACTAGAAATCATCAACCCTGTCCTTGCCATTCCAGCCTTACAGTGGACAACCACAACATTCTCAATGTCTTCTTTCAACCACGAGTAAGCACTTTGACAAAATGATATAACCAGTTGAATTGGTGGGCAATTGTGGTCATCAAATGGAAAGCTAGCCACCTAAAAGAAGGAATTTCATATTTCAGATGCAAGAAGCCGATTGTATGAATGAGTTGTTAATTGAAGAATAGATAACCTACAAGATGTGAGTAATCTAATTTGTCTAGCATTATGATCAAAAGTAGGAGCAGATTGTATGAAAGAATTGTTAATTGAAGAATAGGTAACCTCAATACTATTATCCAAAATGAAGGTTTTTGGGATAGTAAATTAGTAATATATCCATGTTATGAGAAATTTGTATGACATTCATTAATTACAGACTAAAAGCTTATGGCATATAAATAAAATTTACATTATGCGAGTCTATTGCATTTGTCCCCTTCCATTAATGAAATTTAGAAATCACCTTTCCCTCAAATAACGATGCATCATACAACCGCTCAGAACAAAGGTTATAAACCTTGTATTTACCCTGCATATAGAGAAACAGAAAAAAGTCAAATGCAAAACTAAACTATGTAAGGACAAAGGCTCATTAAGTTTCAAAGCTTGAGGCACTTTGCTAAAAGAAAAACCATATAAGTCAAGTTATGTACAATACCTCCCCCATACAATTGAAACTTGTTATCGAACAACATGTAATGACAGGCCGAATAACAGAGTATACGAAGCATGTGCTAATAAGTCATATTACAAAATATAATAATATGATAATTGAAAGAGTCAAGGTAAAAATATGACCGAAAACTTGCTTAGGAGAGAGTCTCCCAGCCCCATCATACATATAATTATATACAGAATTTTTTTTTGAGATTTCTAATAATTAGGAAAGAATATTAGAAGATTTTTACAAGATATTCGGCCTAATTATGTACAGCTAACAAAAGGAGATAATTACAATGAAATTAATTAAATATTCTAACACAATTTCAGCCTATATTTGAAAATCTCAATAATCTTGTTGCAATCTCAACAATACAATCTTATCGTAATCAGAACATTCCCCCTTGAGCTATAAGCTAGTGTATATAAGTTGTATGGATATATTACATTCCCCCTTGAGCTATAAGCTAGTGCATATAAGTTGTATGAATATATTCAGCTTGCTACATACGAATGACATTGATAGGAATCAAGAGGAAGACTTGGGTCAGCTGATACAAAATGTGGAAAATAGACCCAAGGTTTGGCATGTTTACTATAGGAGACATAACAAAGAGAGTGGGGGCTGAGCTAGCAATAAAGGGAGAGAATGAAATGTAGTGAGTTAGTTATAAGGTATAAGCGGCAAGGGGGGGTGGGGGAGAGGTAACAAGCACATATATCTCAGTTATAGAGAGAGAGTGAGATCACCGAGAATCTCCTCTGGTGAGGGGAGCCCATTGGCATGGGCTGATAGATATCCTTCTATTATATTTTCCTTGTTCTTCAATACAATCTACAGTATTATTCAGTCATTTCCATTTTGTGAACTCATCAATATCCTTGGTCCACAAAGAGATCTACGAAGGATGTCTGCCAGTTGATCATTAAAAATTTACAACCAACAATGATGTAGTCAAAGAGACTTAGTGAAGACACCAAACACTTATTTGAGGATCCAGAACCACTGGATTCAGTATTGGTAGGTGTTGACATGAAGCACCAACACCGACTTGAACACCTTTACATGGCTAAAGTCTAAAACATAAGACATGCGGCATGACACACACACATATATATATCATAAAAAATAACTAAATTGATCAACATTTGGTAAGTAAGAGGCATCATTATCATTAAAAAGAAAAATCCACAATACTAATAACTTTATTGCTTTACATAAAAGACTAACTACAAATTGCTAAGATCCTTAATAAAGAGTCCCAAAAAAAATACTTAAAAAAGGAAAATAGGAAATTTACTTATTACAATTCTCTTTTTAATTTTAAAAAGATTAGTAAAAAAAATGGTAATTGTTTCTATAACCGTGTCCAACCATTTAAGGTGTGTTCAAGCTACGTCAAAGCCGGATAAATAAATAAAAATAAATAAATAAATAAAAACAGAAGACACCACAAAAATGTGTCTGACATGTGTCCACGGCATGTCAGACACCCTGACACCTTTGTTGGTAGGCATGTCTGTGCTTCTGTTGCAAAAGCCATGGTAGACAAAAGAGTTCAAAAAGATATCCATGTAAAAACCTCACGAAGAACAGGAGTAAACAAGTGAATGAGTTAAGGCAAGATTAACTGAGACACAGCCCCCAAACCAAGAAAGACAGAAAACAGATTGGGGCAGCAACCAAACAGTAGAAGGCCACACAAACAAGATGCCCAGCCATCAAACAGGGTAAGAATAGGGCCAGAAAACACCAATGAAAGTGAATCTAATAAAGGTTAACAAAATGGGGGAGTTTTCAGAACAACAAGGATTGACAAGCAAACCTGACAGCGGGCTGCATGGCACTACAGCTAGGGTTTTGATGAATTTCACCAGACAACTTGACATTGGCTCTAATACCAACTTGAAAGTTGAAACAGGGACTAGGAATAAAAATTTAATTGAAAACTTGCTCAGGAATCATGAGTGTCTTCCGGCACTATAATATATAATATATATAAGAAATTCTGTACAATAGGTTTCCCATAACTTGGGAAGGAATAATACAAGACCTACAAGATATTCAGCCAATAACCCTAATTATGTACTAGTACAACTAATACAACAACAAATTTTTAGGGATACTATTAACCATGAGACCCCTCTCCTTTTGGCTCTCCCTCTCTCCCTTTTAACAAGACTAAAAACCATGCAATCTACTCACTTCATTGGCACTTCTAGTTGCCTTTGATATACAGCTAATAAAAGGAAGTAAAATCAATCAAATATTTTAACATAATTTCAGCCTATAAAAGGAAATAAAATCAATCAAATTCTAACACAATTTCAGCCTTTATATCATAAAATCTCAATAATCTTATCACAATCTCAACAATACAATCTTATCATAACCTCAACAACATTAACTAAGGTAAGGAAATTAAAATACCCAAAAAAAAAAACCTAACAAAACCCCAAAAAAAATAAACAAAGTAAAGAAAATAAAAAACCCAAAAAAAAAAACCTAACAAAACCCCAAAAAAAATAAACAAAGTAAAGAAAATAAAAAACCCAAAAAAAAAAACCTAACAAAACCCCAAAAAAAATAAACAAAGTAAAGAAAATAAAAAACCCAAAAAAAAAAAAAAAATATATATATATATATATATATCAGAAAAGTTCTGCAGTTTAATATTTCCTTTTGCTTGTACATATATGAGCATATGCCTAGCAGAAAAGGGCCAAGGAAAATCCAACCATATCCAAGAGCAAACAGATTCCCAGTACATAACCAACACTGGCAAAATATGATACAAGGCCAGCATTGAAGAGTAAAAACAAAAGGATATTCTATAATATTAAAACCCTAAACTCTAAACACTATAGCAGAAGTTGGAAAGAGAGAAAAAGTGTGTCACACACCTTCAAACTTTTCTCTCCCATATGAGAAGAAAACACAAAATCCAAGGTATGCTAGTAGATTTCCAATCCTATCCCTCAACCTCTCTTATCTGACCATGTGTCTTTTAATTTAGGGCATTTTTGCCCTTTAAACAAAAATACGAGGTTCTTTCTTTTCACCATCTATCCAACCAAATGAGTGGATGGAGAGACTTCTTTCTCTTTATTTTCTTATCTTTTTCTTTCTCATGATTTTCTTCCCCACCATTCTCTTCTCTGCTGACAAACAAAGCATTAAAGTAAGCTTCAAAAGGGGTCACAGAAGAAGAAAAGAACAGAAATATAAAAGATGACACTAATATTTTCCCAGAGCAAAGCTCCTACAGAGACCTCTGCACTCAGCTTACAACCAAACAAGAGAATAATCATCTGCACCTCTCTCCTTTAACTAACCTCCCCTAAACAATCATTCCCAATCCACTACACCTAGATGCTACTTGCTGACAAACTTCCATTTGGCCCTGCCTTCTGAATCACTTTATGGTGCCTTCTTGCGTATAACTTTCAACTTCGACCATGAGACAACAGGTCCACCATCAGTCCTCTAGGTTCATCTATTATATTCTGGTTACTAACAGAATATGCCTAGCAAGATTTGGCCCTTCTAAAGTGAAAGAGTGCATCATAGAGGACAGCATGCAGTTATTTATAACCATTAATTTACAGTTGAGATTGTAGTAAAATACATGCACATGTATAATAAACTACAAATTAATTAAAAGCTCAACTATTGAGCCCAACCACCTTACTTCAGACTTTACATGAACTAAATTCCATTTTTAGCAGGGGGGGGGGATTGCATGATCATAGGCAGATATTTTGTAGTATAGACTTTTTTAAATGAAACAAAAACAACATTCCATACAATACAGCATTGATTTTGTATTATAAGTAAGCTACAGAAAAGGCATAAACATAAGAACTTGAAACTTCATGTGCCAGAGTGTGTGTACTACCTTATGGTGAGTTTCAAAAAACTTGATCACTTCTTCCATATGATTTCTGTAAAATCCCTGTATGACACATATAGATACTCAGAAAGCTGGTGTTTAAGATCAAGACATCAACCAAGAAAAACAACATACAAAATTCATTAACTCACTTCAACATAACTGAAAAACCCAGAGCTCAAGTCACCAGCAGGGAATCCCATTGCAATAATGTTTTCAGTGATATATGTCATATCTAAATCAAAACCTCCTTCCTGAAAAAAAAAAAAGTAAAGAGTATAAAAGTGGACAAGACTCAAGAGTATGCATCAATCAACCTGGTTCTTGGAGAAGGGAAACATACAATTCAGTGTGAAACAAAAAAATACAAAAAATTCAAACTAAATGCACTCACCAGTCACAACAATAAGAGTGTGTTTGGGAGAGATTAAATTCTCTCTTTTCAGCTGTTTTGGTGGAAAAAAGGTGTTTGTGAAATAAACTAGTTGTCTGGGAAACTAGATTAAATTTGTAAACACCTTTTCTTTTTCTGAAAAATTTGTTTTTATGAAGCTGAAAATTAGAAGCTTATGATTATTTTTCAACAACTTTTTACTCTTTTAAGCTGATTTACTACATAAAAACTGGTTATTTTGTTGTACCCAAACAAAAAATTAAACATCTTAAAATCATTTTTCAGCAAACTTAACCAAACAAAATTTCATTTTAATTATAATTGATTATAACAATAATCAATTATTAAAATAATCTAATTTTCACAGTTTGCCCAAACACACTCAAATTACATAATTAAATTCTAGCAGCTTTTTCAACCTAAGGGGCTAAATGTTCATCATAGAGGACCCTAAGTTATGATATGTTTTAACAGGGTGTAAGCATATTTCTGCAAACTTCAGGGCTTTATAAATTCAACACCAGCTATGAGATCTGATTTAGAAAATCCAGATGAAAAAAAAAATTGGTTAGCCCAATTTTGCTTCTGCAGTAGATAATAATTGTGACAATGCAAAAGGTATTTATGAATAGGCTCCCAAAGATGAGCTTCACCCAATTATTAAGGGATTAAAGCAATGAACCCAATAGAAGAAACAATAAAAATTTTAAATGAGCAAATACTTTGAGAAACTCAGCTTTACAATAATATATACAAAGTATATTAGTTTGAACAAGAATAACACCTGGTATCTGCGTTTATTCTGTGAAACAACATGGCGTGCTTTAACCTGCACAGCTTTCACTGCATTCTTAGAAGAGTCAACCAGGCCTTTCGTGATAGTTCCAAACAAATTAGATTGTACAGCTGTTTCATTGGAACTGTCATCTGCCACAGGAGATTTTGGGGACAACCTCAACCCCAAATTACTAGTGATGCGTGCAAAAGTTGATTTCCCAGCATTCCCACTTGACGAGTCATCTTGGGAGCCAGTAAATGGCTGAGAAATTTTCAATTTGGCCCAAGACGATATGCCAGTCGGAGATAGCCTAGATGATGCATCATGTGCAGAATTATCTTGCCCAGAGACTACAGAAGCAGAAGCTTGTTCATCAATCTCCTTAGCAGGAGGTGAAGTGGGTGGATCTTTAATAGGATGTGAATTAGATACATCAGCAGGCACTGAATCCATTTGATTAAAAAAGTATCAATGGCAACTTATGTAGAAATTGGAAGCCTTAGCATTAGGTCGCCCTGACCAAACAGTATCTTCTGGTTGAAGCTGCAGATACAGACATAATGTCAATAGAACACAAGACAAAAAATACATATAATGTTTCTTCTTTATATTTTGCCTATTGATTTAATCATTCTTTGTAAACTCAACAATAAGATCACTCCTAACAGTATATTATTAGGCGGAAGAAAAAAAATATGTTTACATATACATACTACTGCTATATACATGTGTAAATGTGACTAAAACATCTCTAATTATTTGAGAAACATTCACAGTTTCTTTTATCTTTGAATTTGTTATTCATTTCAGCTGGCAGTCGTATGTTATCTATAACTACACAAAATTCTTTCAGATACCCAGAGGAAAATGTAGTAACTCATTAAAATATTAAAGCAGGTCAACCATTACCAAGTTATTATATCACAAATTCACAATATATATCACATCCTCAGTTTAAATTTTAGAATGATTTGAGGACGAGGGGTTGTAAGATTTAGAAGATGAAAAAATATAACAGCAATATCACATGCCATATCTTCGCAAATTCTGAAATGCCTATCCCCTCGCCTCCCCTTCCACTGGAAACAGTAGTGGCGAAAATCAAATCCGCACGCATTTGCAATAATAGATTTCTGGCACTTCACTTGCACAAAAAAAAAAAAAAAAAAGCACGAGAAAAAAACTAGCCCGGATACCCATGGAAACACTATTCAACGATTCAGTCATGTCCCTAAGTAAACATCTAGATAAAAGCATTTCACGATAATGATTTCCGTCAATTGAGCATCGTGATTTCCAATTTCTAACTAAGTAAACCATAAATAAATAAATAAAACGTTAAAAACCGAACAATATAGCGTAGATTGGAATTCAGGAAAGGAGTCGTCGAATACGGAAATGAGACGTAAAAAAAAATTCAAAATGAGGAGAGAAAAGGTTGAAAGAAGTAGTTTCAGATCTGAGGAGAGGAGCTTGTATTACCGAAAGTGGAATCAGAGGGAAGTGAAGAAGTTGATTAATTGCCAAAAAAAAAAAAAAAAAAAAAAAGCACGAGAAAAAAACTAGCCCGGATACCCATGGAAACACTATTCAACGATTCAGTCATGTCCCTAAGTAAACATCTAGATAAAAGCATTTCACGATAATGATTTCCGTCAATTGAGCATCGTGATTTCCAATTTCTAACTAAGTAAACCATAAATAAATAAATAAAACGTTAAAAACCGAACAATATAGCGTAGATTGGAATTCAGGAAAGGAGTCGTCGAATACGGAAATGAGACGTAAAAAAAAATTCAAAATGAGGAGAGAAAAGGTTGAAAGAAGTAGTTTCAGATCTGAGGAGAGGAGCTTGTGTTACCGAAAGTGGAATCAGAGGGAAGTGAAGAAGTTGATTAGGGTTTGGAGGATGAAGAAAGAGAACGGAACGGAGACGTTGAATTTAGGAAGGAGATATACTGATTGACATGCACGAATGAATGAATGATCGCTGTGATATCATACATTAATGATCGGACGGTCGATGCAACCCGAGGTGTTATCCTGTGTTCTGTTGTGTATCCGATTTTGTTATATCGATTGGAAAAACAAAAATTAAGAAAATTTTTAAAATTATTTATTAAAAACATTCTTTTTGTTTTTATTAAATATAGCTGATAGATCAATAATGTAAAGCAAATTTATATCAGGAGTTTATTAAATTTTATAATTATTATCTTAAAGATCATACTTACAATAATTTATAATTAGTTGATTATAAGAAAATAATTATATTTTTTTATAAAAAAAAGTAATTATACTTGTATACAATTAAGATTAAATTAAATTATTTATTTATTTTTAAAATTAAATTTAACTTTAGTATTTTTTAAATACTAAATTTAATTTTTTAATTTTAAAAAATGTTTGATATTGTTTTTTTTTTAAATTAACATTAATTATGTTAATAAAATTAGATAGAAATACAATATTAAAATATTATTAGAATTAGAAATTGATGATTTAAAAATAATGAGATAAATATAACAATTTTATTTTACTTACTTAATATATTTTTTTATTAGATTATACCTCTTTCTTCATTTTGAGATATATTTTTTTTTCAAATATTCAATTTGTTGTCTTTATTCAATTTTATAATGATTTATTTTATTTCAAGTATTGAGTTTATTGTTTCTCAAATTAAAATTAATAATGTTAATAAAATCAAATGAAAAGGCAACATTACTATTCTTTTTAAAAAGTCGATACCAAATTAAAGTATTTAAAAATAATAAAATTAAATTGAATCATAAAATTAAATAGATAGACTAAATTTAATTATAATTTATCTAATAATATTTTTATATAGTTAAATTTATTTTTTTTACTTACTTAATATTTATTTTATTACATCTTTTTTTCACTTGTTGATCATTTTTTTTATTCTAAATACTCAAATTTGTTGTTTTTCAAATTGATTTTAACAGTATTAAAAAAAATAGATGAAAAGATAACAATGCATAATTTTTAAGAAAAATTAGAGATCAATTTGAGCTATTTAAAAATAGCAAAATCAAATTGGTTCTTAAAAATAAATAGAGAGACAAAATTGAATAATAATTTATTTAAAAAATTTATTATTATTTGAATAAAATTAAATTTTCTTACCTATGATGGAGTCAAGTAGGTGAGATGGAGAAGATAATCTTCCTTGCTTGAATCCGTAATGGATCTTGCCTTTGAGACCTTGATTCCAGCAAAACGAAGAAATGAAGAAGATAAGATTTGGAGTTCCAAATCTTATAAGGAAGCACTCAAGCTAGGAGTGCAAAGGATGGCTCACGGTTTAACTTTAGAAAGTGAAGGATTCCTAAAGCTAAACTAAGAACCTAGGTGACTTTGGGGAGAGAAATCTGAAATGTATTCATAATATTTCCCAATTATGCTCAAAGTGTTTACAAAGAGTGAAGGAACAAGCACTTATAGATCCTAGAAGCAAGCTAGGTGGCGCCAACTTCACTAGCCAATATTGGAGCCAAAAATTCAAATTTCAAATGAAAATTTGAATTCAAATTCAAGGCTCCATGTGCTTAGTCCGTGAATATGGGGCTGCCATGCATCTAAATGTCGTTTAGGGGACATTTAAAGTGTATTTGGAGCTGCACATGTTCAGCCATGCTTGGCAAGAAACATGTGATCCAAATGCATCTCAAATGACTACTAAGCGTGTGTTTGCTTCCGATTTTGGACGTGAAAATTCACGTTTACAGGAAGCAAAAAATTCAAGCTTCCACGTAAATTTGATTGTAAACGTGGAGAGAGAAAGAAAAATCACGTTCATAAATCAAAACCAAACATGCACTAAATAAAACCTAGATTTTAGCTTCTTGATCTATTTTAGTATTCCTTCAATATTACTATGCTAATGGCCTAAATACAATGGCCAAACATATACAAACATTAGGAAATAATAAAAAAAACAAAATAAGCCCAATATTGGTTACCAAAAGCCCAAAGGCCCATGAAGCCCAAAACTAGGCCCAATAAGCCTATGGCCAAAAAATGTTAATCTATGTGGTCTAAAATACAAGACCAAAATATGTGAAACCTATACTAATATAATATGTACAAAATATAATAAAAATGGATTTATCAAGAGATGGCCCATGTGAAGCTCAAATTGGGCATTCCAGGCCCATTGGGCCCATTGGGCCTTGACTGGCCCAAAACTTCATGTCTAGCCCATTTTTCTTGGTTCCTTCAAGGTATCACCTATTGACCTCCTTGGCATGATTCCATCAACCTACTTAATATTCATTTATTAAATAACTCTTTTTTCATTTTGTGATATTTTTTACAATCTCAACCCTTTTATTATATAACTCTTTTTTCATTTTGCGATATTTTTTACAATCTCGGTAAGGTGATTAATTTTCTTTTCATAAATTATATTCAATTATAATTATTGTTTTACAAAATGGATTGAAACATCTAATTCAATTTGTCTTTTAACTATGTTTGTGAAAGGGTTGGTGATATTGTGACAACAATAAATTTGTAATTAGATAAGACTTCATCATGTTGATCTTACAAATTTGATTTTAAAGTAAAATAACATATGTTTGAATTAATATTTTTATTGTAAATGCAATATTAAGAATAAGATTTAATATAATTTTTATTTATTGCAAAAATTACCTAAAATTACTTAAACAAAATCAATTTTGAATCATAATCGATTTTACAATGTGAGATGAAAAAAGTGTACAAAATTAATTTTAAGAAAAAAGATTGAGAAAATCAAAATTATTCAAGATTAATTATGCAAATAATTATCCGAACATAACAGTCTATTATATCACTTTTTTGCAATGAAAACAATTTTTTTTTCCAATTTGGGAGAATTTATATACAAGGCTGGAAAAACTTGTACGAGTAATTTGGAATGATACTTTTTAAGTTATTCTATTAAAAAGATCTTCAAAAGTTATAAAATCTGTCCCAAATTTATATTATTTTTTAAAAGAATAACTTTAATTAATGATATCTGTATAAAATACTATATTAACACAAATATTTTATATTAATGCAAAAGACATTTTATATTCCTTCTTATAAAAAGGACCAAAATTAAATATAATATTTTTATTTCGCTTGAAATCATTAAAAAAAGAGTATTTTAAAAACTTCTGTGCATGGTGCGCGTTATATTCGAAAATGCTATAATCATAAATTTACATTGATATATAAGCACATTCATTTAATACTTGGTTCGTGTTTGATTTGCTAATGATGATTTGATTACTAAATAAACTGCTAATATGTAATAGTAGTAGTATCTCCATCCTTGTCGATACGTATACCAACCTTTGCATAAATAGAATAAATATAACTTTTGGAGAGATGTAACAAATACGTATGTAAGTAACATTGTTACTGATACTTAAAAGACTTTGAAGAAAGCAAAAATAAGTAAAAAGAAATTAAAAAAAAAATGGAAGTTTTTATCCATGCAAATGTGACTGTCAAATAATATGATAAGGGACCGTGAATTATATACAGAAACTCTAAAATTGAAGCCAATTATACCAAAAATTCGATAAAGTTTACTGTCTATCTAAAATTTACAAAATAGATAATCATTTATTATCTCTATGACACACTGAAAAAACACCCAGTTGAAAACCACTGATGCAAGATGGCAAAGGAGAACCAAGCTGATAAAGGAGAAAATTGTTAATTACATTGTTTCTTTTCTTGAAAAACCTTCAATTATTTTGGTTATGAATTATGAGTGTGGCCTCTCTTTTAACCGCTAGGATGTGTGACGCCGCTTGCAGACATGGACACTAGAGGCAAATTCAAGAGAGTAAAGTGACTCTTGAGTTGATGATGAATCGGATGTTATGTTTACAAACATCCATTATATTATCAAGTTCAACGTGTCAAAAGTATTAGAGCCAACACCAACTATTTGCGTCCTCTTTAATGGCTGCTTCTAATTATTGATAGAATTCAATTCACTGCAACCATGCATACTCAGACCATCCTATTTAAAAGTTTAGTTACTTCATTCAGTTAATTATAAACATGGTCATTGGTATCCATGTGAGTAGTATCATACTACTATCAGTGTAGTTTTTTCACTATTTCAATTTAAGAAACTTATAGTCGATTCTTCATCTAACACATACGAAATCTCGGCCTTAGTTTCAATAGATACATTATCCAACTTTCTTACTAAGTACTCCTTCCGATCCTTTGTATAAAACAAAGTCCCCATAGTGAAAGCAAGTATCTTTTACCTATTTTCTTAGTATATATTATTATTCCTAGCATAATGAACCAAAGGAGGCAAACTAACAATCACCTTATACCCATCAAGAGCACTTTGTACCAGCTATTATCTCAATGAAAACATCTTGCTGAGAAGCTTCTTGATTAAATACCTTGTCAAAATAGGCACGAATATTGTTTCTGAAGCCGCCTAACAATATGAAAATAATAGTTTTAGTAAGCAAAATATGCACGAACTAGAAACTACTACTCGCAAAAATCAACTAATACAACTGGAAGCAAGAATCAACAAATATGCACTAACTAGTAACTACTAGTAGCAAAAATCAACAAAGACCATCTAAACATGTAATCATTTATTGATTCCCTGTTAAATTTTAATGAAGCGTTTTACCAGGAAATCAATAACAAACAAACAAAGCCTTATGTCACGGTACAAGGAAGATGATTAAAAAGGAAAAAGAAACACACACTCACCTTTAACTTCCGTTGCAGCAAATTTATTTGGTCCCTTTGAGAAGAACAAGTCTCCTGTAAAGAAAGCCAGTATCTTTTATAAATCTAATGAACACACAAGTGCATAATTAATAACTAAAAGGATCAAAATAATCAATAGGGACAAAACAATGCAACAAACCTCAAGAGCATTTGTTTTGATTGTCAACGTATCCAACTGGGCGCATGATTTCCCTGTATGTTCGTTGTATTTTTCTACTTCGCTGGTCAAAGATAGTACTTGTACCTGTTGGCAATCTCGGTCATCTTTAATTTGTTTTAATTCTTCCGGAAGGCATTTGAATTTATTTGCCAACAATTTTTTCTTCTGTGCAGTCTCATCTAGTGAAGCCTGAGAAGAAAAGGAAAATGTGACAGAACCAATCAACACAAAATGCGAGTATTAAGATACTCACAATGACAATATGGAGTCATCAGTAATCTCAGCAAAATACAAGTTCAAATTATTTTAATTTGTTTTAATTCTTCCGGAAGGCATTTGAATTTATTTGCCAACAATTTTTTCTTCTGTGCAGTCTCATCTAGTGAAGCCTGAGAAGAAAAGGAAAATGTGACAGAACCAATCAACACAAAATGCGAGTATTAAGATACTCACAATGACAATATGGAGTCATCAGTAATCTCAGCAAAATACAAGTTCAAATTATTAAAGACCAAATTGAAACCAAAAATTAAAGTGGGACTAAATTAAAACAAAAAAAATATTATAAGGGACCAAAATAGGTTTTTAACCAATTTTTAATTAAGCCCTTAAGTTAAAAGAATTTATAATTAGATCTTTCATATTTCTATAATTTTGTAATTTAGTCCCTAGAATTAAAAATTCATTTACAATCTATGAAGTTTTACAAAATATTTATAGTATCTACATATCTAGACAATCATATTAAATTATTTTTCTATGACATGATTTATATCTATCAATAATATTAAGTGAAATTTCATGAATTGTAAAAAATTTTGTAACTTTAGGGACTAAAATACAAAATATAAAAAAATGAATATTGACTTAATTATAAATTTTCTTAGTTTAGAGAGACCTAATTGAAAAATCATAAAATGTTCATGAGCCTAAAATGATGTTATATTAAACCTTAATTTAATATACTATTTTAAGTTTTTAGATTTATCTGTTAAATAAACGTGTACTAATTTTTTAAAAAAAAAATTAACTAAAATGATTTAAATACTAATTTAATGATTAAATTATAATTATAATCTTATAAAAATATAATTAAATAATAATATAAATATATATATATATATATATATATGACTACTTGCATGAGATTTATCTTCTTTTATATAATATTTTAGATAAATATTTAATGCTTATACTTCGACTTAATTAATGATGTATCATAGTAAATATAATAACCAAATGCATTATAACATAAAGGTCTAAATTTACACAATACAAATTTTAAATAACTAAACATATGTTTAAACTTTTATCTCAACTCATTTTAAAAGACATGTTATTTATATAATAATTTATACAACAATCAATTTTTTATTATATATTTATTATGTCATATTTTTTTTTTTCTCTTATTGTAATTTCTTTATATAATTTTGTGCAAATAAATTTTCTCATATTTAAATTGACACATTATCTATGATTTTTATGTATAAAAAATTGGCACACTATATATCGATAAAAAAAATGACACGCTATATTAATTATAAATTAAATTATACTTAGACTCTTCATACTTCAATCTAAAGACCATTTTAATTCCTCTAAATCTAATTCTAATAACTCTCATTTGTCCTTATAATTTTTTAAAAATAAGTTTTAAGTTAATTGACAAACAATTTCTAATTTTTAAAAGTTCAAATATTTTATAATCATTAAAAATATGACAATGTTTATGTTTAGTCCTATATTTTTTTTCTTGTTAAGATATGATTATTGTCGTTCACAAAAAAAAAAAAAGTTGTCTTTTTTTATTCATTTACTTTTTAAAATTAGGATTATTTATAAAACATTGTCATAAATGAGATAACAAAAAAGAATATTTAAGTTTTTAAACTTAAGAGCATTTAACCTATACTAAGAGTCTCTATACAAACTTAAGAATACTTATTTAGAATTTTTATATAAAAATTTATTTATTTTCAATGAAAATTTTGTAAAATATTTTTAACTTTGTATTTAAACAAATTCTGAAAATATATTTAATTTATTCTTTTTGAAAAAATATTAAGAATTTTTTAAGTGGTTTTTGAGAAAGAAAGAAAGAAAAAAAAGGCTTGGATTTGACCTTTTTTATTTTTTATTTTTAAAAAGAAATGTCATAAGATTAGCCATGAAAAATATCATATGCTAATTTAACGAGTATGATAATTGTGTTAGTATATAGTAGTAATAATGGTTGTAAAAGTATGTTTGGATTTGGATGAGCATTTCTCAAATTAATTTTATAACATTTGTATTCAAACAAAATAATTTACGTTTGAATTAATATTTTTATTCTAAATGCAAGGTAGTAACCAAATTTTGTGTACTTATTTTCTCCAATACAAAAATTACCAAAAATTATTTTAACTAAATTAATTTTAGACGACTCATAATCAATTTTACAATGCGAGATTAAAATATATGCATAAATAATTTTAACAAAATCAATTTTATAAAATAAAACCTGTTGAAAATTAATTGTGAAAATAGAGAAGGGTTATAATAAGACCGATGCAACTTTTACTAAGTATTACACCGCTTAATAATTTTATATTAAATGTGAATTTTGTAAATACAACCGTTAGATTGAAAGTTCATATCACTTTATACCTTAATATCAAATTTTGTTATTTTTTTTTCATTGTCACTTTTCTAAAACTAATGACTTATTAATTTTCTTTTTTATTTTTATCCTTAATAATTAATGCATGTTTATTGAACAATGTGTCTATTCATTTTCTAATGTACCTATTTATTATCTTAATTATCTTAATTCTTGTGCATAACCTTAAAGACAATAATAAAAAAACAGAGAAAGTATAAAATTAATAAACGGTGTAATACTTAATAAAAGTTTTACCGATGTTATTATAACCCTCGAAAATATTCGTCTAAACATACACTTTGTTTGATTTTACATAAGTGTGTCACCAAAATCATGTCAAATTCATCAGCGGAGAGTACACGTAGCTTCTGAATGTCTTAAGTCAGAAAACACATAACTACAAGTTTTGTCAAGTGTTAGCAATCAAACTCCAATCTTAAGTTTGGTTGGGTGGACGAAGTGTAAGAGAAAAAGAAAAAGAAATTCTTTAGATTAACTTTCAACTTCATTTTTTTTCATCAAACAAAAGAAAATATATTCGTACTTTCTTTCTGTTTATTTTCTTTATTTCTAGTTTCATCACTTCCGAACCAAACATAGAGCAAAGTTAACACAATATGGATCACTTTGAAGCCTTTGGCTCAACGGTCACCCCCAACTCATAAAGCAAACCTTAGAACAAAAGAAATGGTTTTTATTTCTATAAAGATAGACATTTAGTACTTAATTTATACATAAATAAAATATTAAAAAATTATGTATAATTATTAAAAAACATATAAGATTTTTTGTTTTTTCACATTAGAGGAATATTATGACCTACTAAAAAGTAAAAAATATGTATTCTCGATATCTCTTTTATAATAGGTATAGATTTACCCGAAAAAGAAAACGATGGCAAAATAAGCAAATGCTTTTCTTAGAAATTGTTTATGAAACGTCTCTAGCAAATTATAAATATTTGTTGCATGTATACGAATTATCTAAGAATTGCCCAATCTCTGTGTCTTCCACGGAATTGATGCAAATCTTGGTTTGGTATCACTTGATGACTTTCAAGGGCCTCATCATAGCATTGTCTTCATGATCCAAGACCTGCATAAAATAATTAAGAAATATAATAAAACTGAACCAGAATAATTTTGCTTCAAGTAGTAGTAAGAAAAGAAAGGGTAAAGTAGTCACATGACAATGGTACACGTAACCAGGCTCTGCTGTTGCATCAAACTCATAGGACGAGTTGGTGTGTATGTAAGAAAACCTGACCGCAATCTTTGTCACATAGCCGGGTATCATCTTATACACATTCTTCCACCCTTTCTCATGTGCCGGCACGTCCACTTTCTTCCCACGCGCATATTGCTCCACGTGGCACTTGACCGCGTCGTTGATTTTCGTCATGCATTCCTTAAACTCATCCAACTTCACTAGCTCCGTCTGATCCAACACCTTCAACAAACCCAAATGAATGTGAAGCGGGTGATTATCCTCCGTCAAGTTGATCACATGCCACACCTCTGTGGACCCCTCCTTCGGAGTCTCCGTAACCGCTGCATCAAACGGTTTTCCATTTAAGTACAAGTGAGTGGGCTCGTCAATGTCGCTAACGTACTCGTACATAGCAACGTAGCGTGTGCGCGCCACACTGGATAAATCTGGAGCAGGGTATTCCAGCAAGCGTTTAGGGATCCGTGACGTGTCAGGTTCTTGATAAGGTAGGATGATGAATTTCATGACCTTTCCGTTAGCCTCATTGACGGGGTCACCAGAAGGGTAAGGATAGGGTGCATCGTTAGCCAGAATGGCAACGTTGCTCCTGGATTGAGAAAAGTCAACAATTATATCTGTGATCTCAGATGGCCCCACCAGGGTTTGGTTGGCCGTTACAGGGTTTGGGATATAAGCGGAATCAGATGCCACGTGTGTGAATCTGAGGCCGTTGGTGAAGAAGAATCTGAAGAACCTGGCGTTGCTGGCGTTGATTATGCGGAACCTATACTTACGACGTCGTACCGTGAGGCGCGGCCAGGCTTTGCCGTTGACAATGATAGCGTCACCGAAATACTCAGGCTGCCACTGGGGGTGTATGGAAGGGTTGTTCCCAGTGGAGTTCATGAAGATGGAACCGTCGGTGCGGAAGCTGCGATCGAACACGATCAACGGTCGATCGAATTGGTCACCGCGGGGTAACCCTAGCGGGTCCTCGATGGCGGGGTGGCGAATGATGTAGGCGCCAAGTAAGCCAGCGAGAAGGTTGACTCGGGTCAACCCCATGGCATGGTCGTGGTACCATAGGTTTCCCGGTTGTTGATTATTTGGGTAGTGATACGTTTTCTTGCTCCATGTGGGTCCCTTTTCCTCGAACTTTGCTGTGAACCATGCGTTCGCGTTTCCGTCGCTTTCTGGCTCGTGGGTCCCGCCGTGGAGGTGGACCACTGTCGGAATGCCACGTGTTCTCTTTGTGATGGCCGTTGGAATCGTTGGGTCCCACGGAAGTATGTGCTTTGGAGGGAGCTGATTTTGCCACGTCACATATGTGTCAACGCCGTAAAGGGCCTCGATCGTTGGACCTGGAACTGTTGCCTCCTGTTCGCTTCTTCCGAAAGCATACACTCTTGTTGGAGGGAGATCCCTGTGGAATTTCTGCACACAAATTTCAATAAAACCGTTTCTATCTTATACATACATAAATAAAAAATTCAATACATTTGTTTTAGATGAAACGGAATAAATTCATAAGAATGCAGATCAAAATGAGAGAAAAAGAAAAACATAGAATAAAATATATATATATTTTCGTTTGCTTGGCTTTTAAAGATAAAAATTCAAAGTTTATTTTCTTTTCAATTCAAATTTCAAAAATTTTCCCCTTCCAACTAAAAACCCTAAACTGAAAATATGTTTAAGAGTGGCAATGGTGTGAACAAGAAGACATTGGGCATAGTGGAAACCGAGTTATCAATGTCAAGGCCAGAGTGGATGGCACTTTCGATGTACAGGGAACCAATTGTTTGTTAATTATCTAATGACGAAACCTCAGAGCCTCTGGTCCACTGAAGTCAATGAATTAATGTCAATTAGAAAATCTAGAAAGCTTTTAACTTTTGGAATTTGGACACGAAAGATATTTTACAATTCCTTTAAACATCTCTCAATAAAATCAAAATGGATAAAAAGGGAAGACATCCAATCCTAAAGCTATAGGATATTAAACCAATTACATGTGAACAGAGCAACTGAAACCCTACTCTGGAATATTATTGCATGTAAAGTCTGTGGAATATTGTTGCATTTAAATTATAATACATAAAAGCTGACAATTGTGTGGTCAAGAAAACGATACTCATAGTGGAATTATCAATGTCAAGGCAAGAGTGGATGGCACTTGGCGAACCAATTCTTTGCGTAATTATCTAAGGATGACTAATATTTAGTGTTATGGTCCATTAAAGTAATGAACTAACGTCAATTAAAGAATATGGAAAGCTTTTAACTTTTGGACAACAATAGCACCAACACCACAACAGTATGGTATTTGGCATTTTATAACTAAATTTTTTTTACAAGGAAACGCAACCTCAATCTTACTAAACAGGAGTCAATAACATTTTAGAAAGTTTAACTAAAATTTAATTCCAGATTACCCAATACAATTAAACCCCAAATAATTTTATCTAATTGCAACTACTGCTACTCAGTTAGATCTGACAACCAAAGAGTCTTTAGATAGGGGCTGTCACGAAACGAGATTTTGGATACCCTTTATTTTGTATGATATTATTGTCCTAAAGATGGGATTAAAAAAGTGAATGAATTTTTTTGGCTACACGAGGAAAGGATTTTTTTTTTGGTAAAGACACGAGGAAAGGATTAAAAGTGGAATGTTTAAATAAAAATATATTTTATATTTTTAATGTGAAAAATATTTTAATCAGTAAAAAAGTGACTAATAATTTACATTAGTTGAACTTGAACATCACAATTAGATTAAAGCAGCTTTACAAACTGGCATTTCTTAGGTAAGACCACTGTCTCATGCATATGCAGAAGGTTCCAGTAAATTTACTAAATTAATTAATTTTATATATATATATATATATATTAGTAACATTTGGTTGGGCAACGCATAGAAAGAAAGAAATAAACTTTAAAAAAAACAAGAAAGCAAACAACAATTTTTAAACTTAACAATCAATCATATCTTTTAATAATATCATGTTATTTATTTATTTAATAAAATAAAACTAAAATAAAATAATTTAAAAATATGATTGAATACGGTGTAAAAAAATTTACACAAACATCTCATTTTTAAAACAGATTGCGTTTGGACATTGAATTCTGGTAGAAACTTATTGGGGGAGAGAAATTTGCGTGGTTCTGGAGAATTGTGAACATCGTTAAGGAATAAGCATGTAAGACCTTAAAATATGCTATCAATTACTACAAATATTAAAGACATGTCATAGGTTACTGCAAATATTAAAGACATTTGACCAATTACTACAAATATGCAGCCTAGTGATTTGGCTAATCTTTTTTTTTTATTTTGTACCATGTGTAATATCCGATTTCTACAATTCTATCGTCAATCGTATACATGTATCACGTAAATGTATGTTTTCAAATATTCCACTCGTCCTTTTCTTTTTATCTAACATGACCACTTATGAAAAAAATAACAAACAATTTTTTTTTAAAAAAAGTAATGAAAGATCTACAACACCTAGATATAATAACTCAGATTGTAAATTCTCACACTATGTTAAATATTTGGTTATTAGATGAAAGCAGAAAAAAGTAATACTAAATTTCTAACAAATTTTATTTAGAATTGTAATACAATTTGGAGCATCAAAAAAGAATAAAGCAAAACTAAATCTGGGTTCAGCAAAATTTATTCCAAAAAATACTTTAGAAACAGAGGCACGTGATGATGAATCATGTTTCTGTCGTTGGAAGTGTCGTTATTGTTTTGTGAGTAAATTTGGATGGGTTTCGGAAAGAATTGAGTAGAAATATGGAATAAGAGTAAGTTCTGAATGTGTGAGAAAATAGAGGGTAGATCAATAACAAAAGTAGAAATTAGTTGTGTTGAGGGTTGAAATGTAACAAGAAAAGAGTGACCAATATTTATTTGTTTTGAATAATATAATAACATACACAAAACATTTTCTTCAACCACATGCACATTATCAAACTCATGCCATGGGATTTGGTCAAGGTCTCAAGAGTTTGATTGCAAAACTGTTTCAGACAGATTTCAGTAAATGTATGTTTTGAGGAAAAATACTTAACATTCCTCTATTTTCTTTCCATTTCACTTTTGACACCATTTTTCTTCTTCTTCTTTTTATCACTATTTTATTTTCTCTCTCTTCTATGATTTTTTCTCTCTCTCTTTCTCTTTTTTTCTTTTCTTCCTGTTTTGAGTATTACCGTCAGAGTTCTTTCAGAATTCCGATTTGGGAAAATGAATTATGAATATAAAGATACTACATGTAGATTAATTAATATAAAAAAAAAAAGTGTTAAAAAGAATGCAGAAAAATTGAATTAATTGACCGTTGAAGGAAATAAATTATTAATTTATATAAACTTTTAAATTTCAATGAATGATAATTTAATTAAAAAAACAACTTTTTAATGCCCAAACTTGTGAAGAGCACCAAATGAGGGGCAAAGAAGTATGTCATACACTATGCTGATTGCTAAGAACTATTTTTTGTATTTGGAGTTCAATCTTAAGAAACCATGAAGATCGCTCCCTAACAATTATCGAAAGCAGCAAAGAAAGAATTTGGCATGGCACACTAGAGAAAAACATAGAAGTAAAAAAAGCAAGTTTTAAAAAGAGAAAGAAAAAGTACATACCCATTTCTTCATGAACATGCCAATCTCGAGAGACTTGGATTTTGGGACGCCATCTGAAACATGGAAGGCAGGAATTGTGGGTATAAGAGGAAGGTCATCGACAAACATGTTCAACTTGGATGCATCTATGAGATGATCTGAAGCTGATGAGCATGAAGGAGCACCAAAAAGAGCTACAAGAGTGAGTAGTTTGAGGAGCAATGTTGTGTCCATGGCTAGCTACCTTCTCTCACGGGTGTGTTCACTCTGTGGAATGGGTATTTATAGAAGGAAGATTGGTGGATATTGGGCTAGTGTCTAATGGTGGAGATTATGTCTTGTGTTGTGAGTTGTGACATTATGTAATGTGATATTTTGGGCCACCACTACTGAACCCGGTCACAAGAAAATGAAAACTACGTTGTTGTTACCGCCTTACCGGAAAACAAGAACAAAAAAGTAAACAAAAGGATATGATACGTGGATGCTGATGTTGAATCATAATACAACTTTTATTTTAGTTATATATATATTATGTTTATTTTTAATTATAATATACTTTTAACTAAATTATATTTTTTAAAAATTTAACTTTTCTCTAAAGTGATAGAATTATATTTTAAAGAATAAAGTGTAATACTTGTTATAAATTAAAAAATTAATAGTCAACATTATAATTTATTTTAAATTTTATTTTGTAAAAATTTGATTTTATTACAAATGTTAATCATTCATTTAATAAACAGTAATTATGAATGTACTTTACCTTTTAAAATACATTTATTACTTTAAAAGAATCAAAACTTTAATAATATTAGTTAATTTAATTAAAAATATTCAAGTTATTAATATATTAAACTATTTTTCTAAAATTAATCTGATCTCTTATCATTCAATGATTTTTACATAATTAATTAATATTTAAAAAAATATCTATGTGTTTATTTTTTTTTCGGTCGAAAGATAACTTTTATCAAACTAATTTTAAGAATTTACTATCTTTTATCTAAAAATAAATAAATTTAATAAGAGTATTTGAGAGAAGATATAATTAATACAACTAATAATTAGAAAAATATCTTATAAAAAAAATTTAAAAAGTAAAAATACTTATATATAAAATAATATAATATATTACTGAAATCTACATTAAATATAAATACATATTATCAAGTTGAAATTTTAATTTTAATTAAAAATAATACTAATTATACCTTTAAAAAAACCTATACTTACATTTTTGTCCGTAATTTATTTAAATCACGGTTATTGTTACTACCAGGAAAAAAAAAAAAAAAAA